CCCCCCCCCCCCGGTAATTACTTGTCACATGTTCTCCGCGATCACATTGTTTACACTTGTTTGTGTGTGTGTCTCTGTCGTTCTTGTTCCAATCCTACCCAGGTATTGTGGAAACCGGACTGTTCATTCGGATGGCACGCAAAGTTTACATCGGTAATTTGGACGGTTCGACCAAAAGTTGGTCAGCTTCTGTATGAAGCCAATCGATTCGTTCACTCGTGGCCTTTCGTGATACCCTGTTCTCTTTCCCCTCCGCCGAATCACCTTGTTCAGTTCTTTTTTTCTGATTCGTCCCGGTCCTTCATCCACTTCCATCACATATTTCAAAACAGCGCCGTATTTTATTGTAACCCTCAGACCTCCCCGCCCGCCCGCCGATCGCCGCCTCATCGCTCTTTCTTCGCACAATATCGCCCACATGAGCATTGTTCATTGTTGACTTTTTTCTACAAAATCACCAGATTTCCTACAACAATATAGATGATTTATTGATTACTTTTTCTTCCCCGGTTCCTTTTTCCCGTCCGACTTCTCCTCGGGATTGGGCTATCCACTATTGTGATCCACATGCACTTACGGTTCCTATAAATTGTGTGTGTTTGTGGGGGGGGGGTCAACGTGCAGAAAGCACTCACCAGTGATGAAAAATAGCCAATATCTGACGCAATAAAAACGACTAATTAGTAGTGCATTATTTAGGTGCCCACAGTTAGAAACAGGTTGGGTGCCAATCCGATACACAATAGAAAGGAAAGTGTTGGTATTGTGTGCCACAGGTCACGCATGTCCCAGGAACCTCGCTGCACGAGCTTTAGATAAAGTAGGCTCGATGGGACAGCTGTTGTCCTCAGCTGGGCACAGAAGTGGGACTTTCGGCGGACTGCTGGTCAGAGCCAGTTGCTATTGAGGACCACCGATAGCCTAACAGTGGTGCAAGCCCGGGATTGTTTATGGTAGAAGCTGTCAGTAGGGTTAAAGACTTAGGTATCATTGTGACCTCAAATTTCTGTTGGTTCGAGCCATGAAAAAAGCCCGAGGAGAACTTTTCAGGATGAGGACAGCACTGTCTTGCAAATGACTCGAGGTTTTAGGTGGCTCTGTACAAAGCTATAGTTGGGCCTCTTCCCGAGTACTGTTTGCAGGAATGGTCATTCTTCCTCATAAAAGATGCTGCTTGCTTACAGGACCTACAGAGGCTCGTAACAAGAATTATTGAAAGTCAAAGGAGAAAGTTTTACAACCAAAAACTCCAGGACCTGGGGCTTTTTTCTCAAGAGGGGAGAAAACTTTGAGGTGACCTCACTGAAACCTTCAAGATGACGAGGGGTTTCTTGGATGTAGGTTCGGAGAGTCTATTCCAGGAAGACTCAGATTCGCGAATACGAGGTCACTCTAAGAAACTAAGAAAATCTCGGTCCAGAATCGTAGCAAGGTAGGGCTTCTTCAGCAGTCCGGTAGCAAGCTTACTAAACCGGTTAAGAAAAGAGCTAATCGAAATGCAATCAGTTCAAACCTGTTTCGGGGTTGAGCAGTGATCTATCTCTCCTTCCCTTAGGGTACATGTTGAAGATTCGCGTACCCTAATGTCTCTCGCCGAGCAGGTGAGATGTTTAGCAAGACAACTTACAGATTACTCTATACAGTGGTTAGGGTATCAGATCCATGTGCATACCACCGAAAGAACTATGGATGCACTATTGGCCATGTGGCCGTCATCTGTCTTGTGCAAATTGAATTGAACCCTAATGAAACGATGGTCATGTGTTAGAAACAATGAAATTCCGTGCAGCTACGCACCAAACATTTTCTAGTTTTGCTCTGTAATTTTCGAACGATTTTGGTTTTATCGGGAGGTTCAGGGTCGCACCGATTAAAATAGTGATAGAACAGAATTAAGACTTTGAAATAGCGGAAACATCCTTTCCCTTTGATCCATTTGAATAAAAAAAGTAACACAATATGAGCAGAATTGATATTGGCCATCAATTTCGCGTGCTCTCAATCAGCTGTCTACGCACATTTAATAGGTCAAATTTTATCATAACAATACCATATATGGACATTAACACAATTACATGGGGTCAAGCAG